AACAAACAGACCTTTGCTTGCGTTCATCCTGACTCAGATTCTTCCAATTAAAAAAAAAATTTTCTTGACAATGAATGTGAAAACGTGAAGTGTTCCCTTATTTTATATCCTTATTTAAGTGTTTTAGCTCCACGAAACCACAGCTCACAGAAGAACGGGCTAAGGAACTGTTCTCTCAATCCTCCATTCCCTCTTCCTGTCTCCAGCCACTGCTGGTCGCCTTCTTCCCAAGGTCAGAGAGGCCCGCCAAGCAGAACACACAGCACATTCGTGGAGCGGAAGCATGTCCCCCGGCTCGGAGGGGCACTCCGCTTTTATCGACCTTTGCTTTAACGCTCACACTCTTCCACGTCCATAGGACAGAAGGACATGCTTAACTTTCCCTGCAGCCATGCTCTGTTCAAAGCACTATCCTCCAAACACGGAGTATTTTGGGGGGAGGTGAGGGGTTGGAAAGAAGTCTTTGTGAGAGAAGAATCAAGTTCTCAAGCTGTGTGGGAGGGTGGGGTTCAGGGGTCAGGCCACACTGAAAGAGTCAGGCTGGGTAGCAAAGAGACTCCCCCCCAGATGACCTTAAGAATTAAAAATGAACAGTTTTAAAGCAAGTCAAGCAGGCAAAAGAACTTCTCATCAGTCTCCAAACCACGCTCAACTTTAACATTTAGTCTCCGGAAACCCGGGCTGTCTCCACTCTGAGGCGCGTCCTCCCCACCACCCTGCCACTGCCCAGAGCCCCTCACTCTCAGCCACAGCGCGCGTCCAAGGACGTAAAGCCCACCCTTCTTTCAGCAGAAGGCTTCCTTCCTCCACTTTGCCTTATCTTTTTCTTTGCCCTTAATCCTGTGATGGGGAAACGTCCCTCAATCACGTGAGACACCTTTACTGCTCACTGGGGAGCCACGGAAGCTGCAGTGACCGGGGGAACGTAAGCTCCCACGAGGGGCCGTACGGGACCCCCGGTTCTGAAGGCTCCTGGAGCAGACACAAAGCAGAAGCAGAGCCACTGCAGACACACAACCACCACCCTCCGGGCAGAGAGGAACAGGTGTTTAACAGCTGTCCAGCAACAGCAAGAACTGGAGGAACAGAGGGCGAAGCCTGGCTGAGCCAAAGAAAGGGCAGTGGGAAATCCGAGGAGGAAACAGGCAGTTACTAAAGGCAGCCAGATGCCCCTGACTGACTCTCCTCTCCCGTCTGCTACCGTCTACGGCCACATAAAAAAGGTCGTCGCATCTTAATTTTAAATACGGTCCCCCCAAATGTTAAAACAGCCCTGCTTGTATGTTTAAAAATACTCTGCCTCTCCAACCTTATGAAGAAACTGTATCTGGCTGCTACCAGGGAACTCATTTTCCTAGAAAGGCATACAGAGTGGAGAGGGCGTGGTCGCCAAGGCAGACCCCCAGGAGCCGGCAATCGTGAGTCCACAGCTCAGCTCCACCCTTACACCTTGTACAAGTTAATCTGTTTCCTCATCTGTACAATGGGGCTGACAGCGCGTGCTTAGCGCAACATCAGACACCCTGTGGACATCTGACAATCTACCATCAGTACTGCTGCTACTGCTGTTAACACATTAACCACAATGAACAGCCTTCATCTAGAAACTTGCAAGGAATTTCTCCTCCTCAGAGTAGTCTCAGGCACCTAAAGCTGAAAGTACCTATTCCCATTCTGCTAGGGGGAAAGGGGGAACTTGTTTGTGGGGATTTCTGCATCTGTGGAGGGCATGATGACTGATGCAAACCCCAAAGAGACAGAACCAGTCAAATAAACACTTGGAGTCCCAATTTACATTCTACTCTCAGCCACTAGACTCAAGGAAAGTTCTGTCTCAGAGGACTGAAATTACAATTTGAAGAATGTTCATCACAGTGCAATTTACATGGCAAAAAACCCAATGTAATCCAAGTGTTCAGGACAGGAGACAAGGCTTGCATTCCAACGACAACACCACGCAGCCAATCAAAGACAATGTAGATCTCGCTGACATGGAAGGGTGTCTACAATGTAATTAAATGAGAAGAGCTGGGTGGGAAACCATAAGTACATAGAATTTTGCTTGTGCTTCGAAAAAAATATACATTCACTCGCAGGAAAGTCAAGTTATACAAACCAAAGTGGTGACGATGGTAGAATTACAGATGATTTTTATTCTCCTCTTTGTAATTTTCTGAAAAATTTTAGGAGCTTGTACTTTCACAATCAGAAAAAAGAAAATCGATAATGCTGTTTTCATCCTGAAACAGGACACGACTCTGCAGCTGAGCGGGTCACATGGGGCAGGCACGGCTCATGGACAGCGGCTCTCGGCCCCGAGGCAGGGCTTCCCCTCGCCACCCCCCACCCCCGGTGCCGAGGCCCTGCGGCCCCTTTGGGCTCTCGCTAGGCCTTCCGCCCCCTCAGCTGTACCGACCACACTTGGCTTTCACACATTCAGCAGGTGCTCCTGAGCACGCGCTCGGGAGCGGGGACTGTGCCGGCAGCAGGCGCCACGCACGACGCACCAGCACGGCCTCGGTCTGGCCAGTAGCTTCTGTCCTGTCAGGAAAGGCAGCATTCACACGCATCACAAGACGCACGAGGTTCTTGGGGGGAAAAGGGGGAGTAACAGGAAAGGCAGACTGAGGGTTGGGGGAGGCTGAGGAGGCAATGCAGGCAGATGAGAACAGGGCTCACGGAGGAGCCCGGGCGGGGCGCACAGCCCGAGCAGAAACCCAAAGGGCTCTTGGCCAGGAGTGAGAAACTTGCTTGTGGTCCCTGGGACTTCGTGACAGCACTTCTCGAGAGGTAAGACCAGCACCTCTCCCCAGGAGCCTCGCTCAGGGGTGCTCAGCACCCGAGGGCCTCTGTAGGCTGTGAGTGGACTCATCCCTCAGGTCCTCACACACGCTAGTCACACTTGAGAAACGTATGTTTCGATTCAGCACGCCCATTTACCAGTTTACAGTAAGAAAGACAACTGCCTTGAGCATCTGTTTATTGCTCTCAGTACTGACTGATCAATTCAGAGATAAATATAAACCTATCCCGGGGGACAGACAATCCTAGAAATTAACATGATCGTCACATCGTCTTCCAAGCGGGGAGCCCATTTATAATGGAAAACCGCTGTGTGCGCACATGATCGAACCAGGCGGGAGGCAGTTTAAGGGCATCAGGATCCCGGCCAGATGCCCCCATCCCTCCAGGGGCTCGGCACGAGCACCTGAGCTCACTGCTGATGCGGCTGCATGCATCTGCACGTTTGGGATGGGCTCTATCGAGCTGGCCACCAGAGGCCAGCAGTCCAGCTCTGCCCCTGCCTCTGGGCCAATCCCTTCAGCCGACACAGTTCCTACATTCTACGGTGTCTGTTTCACTGGACAGGCAGCCGTCTGTCTGCACCTCTGAGGGGAGGCTACTGACTTTACAGCCTACAGCCCTAAAACAGCGAACAGCCACCCCCATGCACAGACTCTTTGAGGATATCTCACTGCTGTCTTGAAAAGTCTCAAAACACGCCCCCTCCCAAATTCTCTAATCCTGCCATTCTTCTCTGACCATAGCCGGGAACAACCTGGCTTCTTTGCTTTCTTGTCCCCACCTGCGCCCAGTCTTTAAACTTGCCTCATCTGGTCTCTCCACACCCTCAAAGTTTCACTTCCCCCTGATCAGCCCAAAGATGCACTTTCCCAACAGTTTCCCTACTTTCTAGCCCTTCCATCAGACCCACTGCCAAACCCAATGCTGGATAAACTCAACCAGCCTTTAATCCAACCCAGACATAAGCAGTCTTGACAATTAAAACAAACCAGGAGGCAAATCAGTTCTCCAACCTTAGGAGAACAACAGGCAGGCACTGGCAGCCCCAGAAGCCGTGGCTGCAGAAGAGGCCAGAAGCTGCTGGGACCAAGCAGCTCCAGCTCTGAGTGCTGGGCCTGGGGACGCGATGGGGCAGGGCTCTCAACAGGAGGGCGACCAGGGGTCTCTACCCAGCACTCCCGCCTCCATTTATTCTTCCTGCAACTGCTACTCCCCAAGTCCTGCTAAGCCCACCAGGGCACAGAGCCTGCAGAACCTCACGGCCTGTCGTGATGGGCCACCTGCCATCAGGGAATCCCAAGAGCCTTGCACTCGCACCCCACCCCCCGCCCTCCAATCGAGAGCCTGCTCAGTGAGCCACAATAAAGAAACGGACAATTCAGAAATCGCCTTGCCTGTGCCTGCAACAGCCAGGACCCAGGGCTGGCAGCTGCAGCAGCCAGAGGGCAACCAAGCCAGGCTGTCGATGTGGCCAGGCCGCAGCTGAGGCCGAAGGCCCAGCTTCCTCTGGCTGCGATCCGTTCTCTGGGCGTGGCTCTCCTGGCTTCCTGCAGGGTCTGTGACTTCCCCGGTGTCTTTCCAGTGATTTCCTTTGGTCACTGGAAACCACTTTCCCACTGCCTCTCTCTTACTTCTCTAATCCATCCCACCTCAGCCTCTGGGCCTCCCTGAATTCCTTTCTTCCCAGGCTCCTTAAGTATTGCTGCTCTTAAAAATTCACCCCTCAGGCATCCAGCTTCCTCACGCACACACCCCACACTTCTCTTGGTGTCTTAATGCCTTCGCAACTTCACCCATCACCTGGGTGTTGATTACTCCCTGTTCACTTCCCTGCCAGATACCTTCACTAGGATATCCCACAGAACATCACCCTGTCCGAACACTAACCCACCGACTTTCCCCTGCACATCGTGCTTGTCCTATTCCGTGACTCGTGACTCGATTCAAGTCTTTACTATGTATCAAGTCAAACAACCTTTGAGTTATCTTTGTCCTGTCAACGCTACCCTAGTGACAAGTTTTTGTTTCGTTTCTTTAAGACAGTAAATCTGTCTCTTCATCTCTAGTCCCAGCTTCTACCCTATTTCAAGGACTTATCACTAATCGCACCTTCACATTATAGTTATTTTTCTAAGTCACAGAGCTGATCAAGTTACCTCCCTACCCACAGAGCGCTATTCAGCAACCTTGCTCACCTGCGGCAGGAGCCTGCTGAGGCCGACGGTCACAGGTTTTAGAATCTGCTGGAGAGCTCTGTTAACAAGGAGACTTCTGGAAGTCGGCCCTCTCTCTTAAGTATTCGAATATCAGGCAAGTAGGCACCCACTGCCCTGGAAAAAGAATAAGATTATCTTCTGGGTCCTGACCAAGGTTTGCCTTCCCAATAATTAGAAATCCACTGGTCCAATCTGCATTTAGGCCAAGGAGCCTCTGGGAGGAAAAGGAAACAGACCCTCGTTCCTTCCTGTTGGAGAAGTTCATAGGGAGCCCGGATGTCCCCAACTAGGTCTGCTGGCCGTCAAGTACACTGAAAGCCCCAGGAAGGCTGACACCATGGAAGGACGACTCAGGCTCAACAACAAGGCCTGGATGCTCAAGGACAGGGCCGGTTTCAGCACAGCTTGTACTGAAGACCAGAAACCCCTGGGGACCCAGCGACCCCGCCAAGCAGCTGTGCTCAGGAAAGAAGAGCTGAGTATTCAGGGTGAACTAACAGAGCCGCGACTCCTCCAACTCTCCCAGCACCGGGCTGGGCCCAGGAATCCCTGGAGCTCTTCAGCACAACTCCTAGGCCAAGAAGGGTCCTCCTGAGGGAGATGACAGGCTTCCTAGTCATCAGTCGTGAGAGGGCTGGAGCGATTTGTTGGGAAATAAGGGATGTGGCCCAAGCTGGGGAAGGTCACCTGTCATCCATGGCTCATCCCCACCAACTCCCGTGCGTCATTTAAGTGCCTCTTACCTGGTCCTAAGTGATGCTTCCAACCTCACCTTCCTCCAAAGCCCTGGTCACGTCGTGGTTCCTGCACACAGCTGCTTCCCTGCGTGCTCGTCCTCATCCTCCTCGCCAAAGGCCTAACGTCCCTTTGAGAATCTCTGAACTATTTGTACAGATAGGATTGGCTGCTGCTTGAAAATTAAACCAGCCCGGCCAGTTTAGGAAATCTCACGTGAATATCCCTCCTGCTAACATCTAAGAGCCTTGGCAAGCCTGACTCCCTGGCACTTAGGGATGCTGTCGGGCCGGCAGGTCCCCTGATTCCCTTCCTAACCTAACTGCACTAGGATTACAGCCTGCAGCACGAAGGCAGCTTTGGAAGCTGCACAAACTCCACCATGCAGACTTGGGCAAGGGGTTTAGAAACCCTAGAGAATATATTAACAGCAAATAACCATGTCTTACGATTAACTTTCAGCCTTCAACCTCCTGAAGGCATACTTATACCTACCTGCTACACAGTGTTTCAAAGAGATTATCACAATTTCCGGATTTTCCAGTTAATGCTCTGGAACAGAAGGCTCTTTCCTCTTTAATAAAAGTGAATAAAGCTGCAACTCTTCTCATGAAAGACAACTAAATCAATAAAGCAGTCACCTCAAGGTCAGCAGTCAACAGGCCTGGACCAGGTTCTGACTTTGTGGGGGGGACGGGGAGGAGGCAGGAGAATACATGTATCTCCATTCCACAGCTCAGAACACTGCAGGTCACTGCGGCTCAGGAACCAAACAAAGGCGCCACCACCTCCATCACCCCCTCGGGCAGACACACACCTGAGCTCCGGCTGGGACAGTGTGGCCTGTTAGGGACGGGAGGGACACGGCAACAGCCTCTCAGGATTCTGCTTTTCGGAGGACAGATCGTGTCCCCACTGAAAAAGGCCCAGAAAACAAACTGCCACGTGGATGGAAGGAGTTACAACAAGCGGCAGCCACCTCTCCCCTATCTGGTTCTCTGATTTCTATTAAAAAAAAAAAACACTTTTCATTCCCACAAGTTTCTGCCAATTAGAACGCTCCACTTATGTGTGCAAGCACTACACAGAAATTCCACTGCCTATAAACTGATCTTTATTTCTTCCTACAAAAAAAACCCCTCGAAAGTCAGCCAACTTCTAGGGATGGCAAGAGTGGCAAATCAAAGCGAGTCCGTAAGCTCTGGCTCCACACTTGGAAGGATTCACCTCGAATTGTGAGAATATGGACCAGCACATCACTTTGGCCGAGATGCTAAGCAGTGCGTCGGCAACGGGCAAACTCCAAGGTTCTCACTCATTCTAACGGAAGAAAATACATTTCAAACATCTTAGACAGCCTTTCTTTTTTTTTTTTTTTTTTTGGTGGGGGGTAGGTAATCAGGTTTCTTTCTTTCTTTCCTTCTTTCCTTCCTTCCTTCCTTCTTTTCTTTCTTTTTTAATGGGGATTGAACCCAGGACTTCCTGCCTACTAAGCATGCACTCTCCCACTGAGATGTATCTTCCCCTCCTCAATGAAATGCTTTTTAAGTTAACTTCTATGAAAATCAGAAAAACACTACTTCGTAATATTTATTTAATTGCTTCATTTGTAACCAAAAGGAACAACCCTCAGGCTCCCATTCAGCCGTAATTCCTCCCTGCAGGTAACTGTTTGAACAATTTCCACTAAAGCAAAGTCTTTACCTCTCTTTTAAAAAGAATAAAAGAACTGAGGAAAAAACATCGAAAGATTAAAGAAACAACAACTAATAAAAAAGGTGAAGTTCAATAAAGACCAAAGAAAGCAGTACGCTTAGTAAAGAAACGCAAACGACAGCAGAACATGGGCAGGCACACTGAGCAAGCCACAGCCCTTTGAAAAGCAAGCCCTGCAGCCAAACCATTTCCGTGTGACCACGTGATGGACACAGGCCATCACACCCGTGTCCAGCCCACAGACTGCCCGACACCAGCAGTGAACCCCAAGGTAAACCGAGGCCTTCGGGTGGTGTTGACAGGTCACCGCAGGTTCGACTGTTAACAGGGACCCACTCCTCGAGGGACGTCCACGGTCCACAGGGAGGGGTGAGGCAGCAGGTACACGGGAAATCTCGGCCCTTTCAGTTCAATTTTGCTGTGAACCTAAAGCTGCTCTAAAAGTAAAGTCTATTTAAAAAGTTTTAAAAAAAGAAGAAAGAAAAACGAAAAAAAAGAACCAAAGAAAGCCAGCCCTTCCTTCCTGTTCTCTGTGGTCTCTGCGGATCATCGCCCACAAGCCACCACCGCTCGCTCTCAGTTCTGTCCCCTTTCCCCACTGCACTTTCTCCCTTAGCAAACGCACAAGTTGCCAGTGTTGGACCTGCCACCTTCAGTTCATGACGTGCAAATATAATTCCCGGCCCTGTAATCTTGCTCCTAAGCTTTAAACCTACATCTCCATTTGGAGGGCTCACTGGCATCTCAAAATGAACGTTTTCAAAACAGAACTCGGGGCCAATGCAGATGGACAAGAGACTGAAACCACTAGAATAAAAACTGGAAAGGAGGAGGTAAAATTAGGACCTGCCAAAGAAATGACTGCATCAGCAGAAAATCCAAGAGAACCAACCCCAAACCTACATTTCTAAAAACAGTAAGATGACTTGGTAAGCTAGTGAGATATAAAATTAATATAGAGAAACCAACAGCTTTCTTAAATTCAAACAATAACCAGTTAGATAATAAAATGGAAACACAACGGAAAGAACACCCCCATTACGACAGCAATAAAACATCAAGTACCCAGAAATAAATTTAATACATGAACAAAACTTACATCAGTGGAAGAAAAACATTAACACATTCTTGAATGACCTAATAGATTTGAACAAATGAAAAGGCATGCCATGTCCTTGGCTACACGCACTATCAGAAAGATGTCATTCCTCTCTAAGGTGGGCTATAAATTTGGTGCATCTCAAAGAGGGAGCTCTTCATTCTCTGTGGTAGACAAGTGGGTTGTAAAGATCATAGGGAAAAACAAAAACAGCCAGGAACACTTCAAAAAGGAATAAAAATTAGAGGGGGGAGGAAACTAACCCGAAACAACATGAAAACACCATGGCCTGTGCGGTGCTGACGTACCAACAGACCAATGGGACAGAAGAGTAAGTCCAGAAAGACTCCAATCAGGTGGAAATGAAGCATGTGACAAAGGCAGCAGGCTAAAGAGGAACCTCCTAACGAACCGTGTTCGGACAAAATAGTCTTGGGGAAAAAAGATAAAGCCATATGTATACCTGACGCCATACCCCAGGAGAAACTCCAAGCAGTCCAAAGATTCAAACGTAGAAAAGGAAACTATAACATGAAACAGACAACATCCTTTTATGATCTTGGAACGGGGAAGCTGTTTCTAAGTATGACTCAAAATTTAAATGCCACAAAAGAAAAACGAATACATTTGGCCGCGTTGAAAAACAAGATCATCTTCATGGCAGAAACATAACAAGAAAATAAAAAACAAGCAAACAAAAAATCATAAGTGAAGTCAAAAGATAAATGGCAAATCGGGAAATGACATTTGCAGTTCATGGGAGTGAATAACCCCAACAGAGAACGACCTAGAAGCTGAAAAGGAAAAGACCAATAACCCAGGGGATGAAAGGACACTCTCTGCCTGGAAGACCTTCCTACAGATCTGTCCAAAAACACCTCGAAACGCTACGGGGATGAGTCACAGAGGATCTAAGTTTCTAAACAAGTGCATTTCGCGAAACGGATGGTCTCCCATTAGCCCCCTTCCAGAAAAAGGCATTTGCTTCCTAAAGACTTTCCAAACTGTGGGTCGAAGTAGGTAGTTATCCTCTAATAAAATTCACAAAGCCAATGAAAACAATAAACCAGACCATTTACCTTATCCCACTATCAGATTTACCTACGGTGTTCTCCCTCTGCAGATGCAGAATGCAGGCATCTTTAGATTTTCTAGTGGTTACCTCTAAGTTATTTTTTTAAACCACACTGCTAACTATATTTTTCTAATCATCGAGGTCAAAAATAAAACAGCTGCTACGCCACTTTGTCAGAAGAGAAGGCAGGGCTTTTACCTTCTCCCAGCCTTCCTCCTGTCTCCCCACACCCACTTCTTGGCTTCTGCTAGTGCCACTTGGACCCACCTTGACTACTGCTGCCATTATTACTGAATTATTGGGGATTTTTTCTTTTCAGTACATTTCTTCTCTTTCAATAATTATTTATGATATTTGAATTTTGATTTGTAGCCAAATTTATGATTATTTAGGCTTAAATTTATGCTTCCATGATATCAGTTCAGTATCAGTTTTATTTTACATCCCATCTTTCCCCTCCCTGAGTTATTTCAATTAATCTTTTAGTGGACTGACACTTTGAAAACGCTTTATTCAAGACAAGATCACGGACGGTAGATCAGGAAGACGTTAGGTACAGGGGGCAGAAAAAAGCTCAACTGGCCTTAAAGAATAAGGAAGCGTGCTGGCTCTCATAGTCCTTAAGTGCGAACGCAGAGTGAGCCCCAACCAAAGGCAGGGT